GCCTCTAACAGGTTCCATCCTGCTTATGTAACGCCTTTTTCTGTAAACGTGTGCAATGTACTTTCTTCATCTGCACCGCAAAATACTGGTACATGTATGTTGATTTGTATTCTGGCACTTGTGGGACTGTGTACTATCAAGATATGTTCTTGTGTTGAAATTGTGGATTGTCCAGATGTTCAGTGCCTTCTACCTTTTGCGAACATTCAAGTTGAACATTCAAGTTGAAAAAGCAAAAACAAACCTAATTTTAATAAAATATACTAATGAGGTTGGCTGGTACTGCCACCCCCGACCCGGAAATGGATTAAGGGGAAGAAAATGGATGGATGGAGGTCCCAGTTTGTAATAATACATTTTTGTACAGCCCTAATTCGCAGCAGGAGTCGTCTTGGGGGACACAATTGTTGGATTAGATATTCAAGCAATAACAACACAGGAAATGTAATGAAAACAAACATTCGTCCATAAATGTCTTGGTTCATCTCAGTCCTTGACCCTCCTGCATCTGAACAACGTCAAAACACCAGTGGAGAAAACCCAGGGAGACCCACAGTGGGGGCGAGATCTGCTCCTACAGTCTTCATATGGCACTGGAGAAAACCCACTACCAGAACATCTGAAATCATTTTCTAAACCATGCTGTAAAATAAATTAATATTTAATCTATGCCACCATTATTTTCTTTGTTTTATGATAGACACATTTCAAATCACGGTGCTTCGGTCTCAGGGACACCAACGCCTGGAGGAAACCCACCTAGACACAGATAAAACATGGACACCTTATACAGAAAGCTTGAGCCGACACGGGCTAAAATCCACGACCTTCTTGCTGTGAGGCAGTAGCACCAACTCAGACACTTTGAAACACATTTCAGAATATTCTGGTGGACTTGCTCAACATCTGAGTAAATATGCCAAACACATATTGATATTTTCCCCTTTGTTTGCGTTGAGGTTAGCCTAATCTGCCTGAGTATATGCTGTTCTTCCATTGAATATGAATAGTGCATATTATATAACTTGTGACTCAACGGGTGTAAACATTTATAGAAAAGAGAGAGTCAAGAATAGTGGACTTATGCAATTTTACAACCCCCTTCTGCATTAATCATGGTCCGTAAGAATGAGGCAGCCGTAGATTTTAGGAAATAAACTCTTAATTTATTGCAGACAAACAGCTCGCCCTTCACATCTCAGTGGTTGTGTTTCCGGAGCTGTTGGTATTTGCTTTGAGGAGAACTCGAGCACTTCTCCGGGGAGGCGGTGCTGTCCTGAACCTGTTACAGTCTGGCTCCGATCCAGCGCTGAAGGGTAGAGCTGTAGTTCTGCACCGATACCTCCAGACTGCTCCAAAACACCTGTGTCTTCAGTTTGGGATAAGGAGATGGATCATTATATCAGTCACAATGTGTTTAGAAATTGTATGAATATAATAAATGTCATCACGGCAGCTTAATTTATGTTTAATATTTCTTCTTTCATGTGTAATTATAGCAGAGATTCAACCTTTGGGACGGTTTTGTTTAATTCAACAAAAAGCAGATACAATACGATATGAAGTTTTCTGTTTATGTATAATCCTGTTTGTTTTTGTGTAGAATGTTTGAATTAATAAAACCGTCTTTTTCTTGATAATGATAATGATGTGTTTGCATCACAGACTCTAGTTCTGGTCCAGAGCTTCTCCCTAGAGAGAATAATTGAGATAAATTGCTGCTTCCAAAGTTTCCATATGCTTGACAGTACTGTATATGGATATTCTGTTCTTGTTGTCCCATGACTTTTGATTATTGAGTTAGTTCAGGGATAAATACTAGTTGTATACTACATTATACAACATGGCTCATTATTATTTACGGTGTAAAGAATTTCCTTGTGGAAAAACAGTAAAAAGCTGGCAAATATGGTTCCAGGAATTTACCGTTTTCTCATCATGGCATTACCGTTGCTAATTTTAACGGTTAAAGACTGTTTCACTGAATCACATTATGCCTTTGTGCTTTCAGGATTTAACTGTATGTTCCTGTTTATTCACATACAACAATAACAGCTTTATAATGTTAATTTTATATTATTACACCATTTGAAATGTCATTGTAATTCTACAGAAATGTGTTACAGTGTACACTGTAACACATTTTGGTAAAATTACATTAAACAAATGTTATTTTGAAAAACAATTCAAACATGCAAATTTAAGCATAAATTGGTTAAAAAACATCCAGTGGCGTTTTATTACCACAATTATAATGTGATTACAAAAAACGTTACAATACCATAAAATCACATGAGATTACCGTAATTTAACATCAACATAAACTCCTGCTTTTGTTAAAATGATGATATTGCGTTAAGCATGTTATAGAAGTAAAGATTTCAACTGTTTTCTTGTATAAACTGAAGATGTAAAAAAATAAGTGAAAAATTGTGTTCATTAAAGTAAAACAAATTAAAATTTGTTTGTTCTTTTTTTTTTTTTGTTCAATTAAACTAATTATAAACAGTCATATGGTGTAATCATACAAAATTAACATTATAAAGCTGTTTTATAATGTGCTTTCAGGATTTAACAAACAGTTAAATCCTGAAAGCACAAAGGCATAATGTGATTCAGTGAAACAGTCTTTAACCGTTAAAATTAGCAACGGTAATGCCATGATGAGAAAACAGTAAATCTCTGGAACCATATTTGCCAGCTTTTTACTGTTTTTCTGCAAGGACATTCTTTACAGTGTTGTATGCTGCTAGGAATTTGAATGTACTTGATTCCAACTTACTTCCAATTAAACTTAGTGACGTTTAAATGACTATGCCCCGGTCATATCAGTTGTGGTATTACAGATTTGGAGAAAGAAACTGGAGAGGTTCGGAAACGTCGAGGTGGCTGTGGTCTTAGTGTCAGGAGGAACTACTGCCTCTTGGTTTTATGGATTATTATGGAAGTATATTGGTCAAAACCCATGTTATGTTCCCTGTAAAACATGGCAATTACATATGGTCTACATGCATGTCCATACGTTGTCTCCATGTCTCCATGTCTACATGATGAGACAACATATGGACATGCATCATAGAAATCGTGAAAAACATGTGTATTTTTCCAAATCAATACTATTTGTCGTTACCAATGTTGACCATTTGAATCAATAACAATGATAAAAAATGGGAAAGAGACGTGTATATTATCTTTGTGGGATAAGCAGGAGAAAAGGCGCCGGGTGAGGGTGTCTTCTATCTCCAACACATTTTAAAGGTCTCCTCACTTTCCTCTGTCTGCTTCCTCAGGTGTTGAAGAGTGAGGGCAGTGACGTGATGGCAGCGCTCACACACAACAGAGACCAATCAGCAGCACACTGAAGCCACGGCACGCACACATCCAACCCTCTGACAGGTACCGTGTCAGTCTCTCAGCACAGAAACATTTTGAGGCTAGTTTAATGGATTTTCAAGGCCTTGGTGCATTTTAATCTTTTAGTAACTTGAGTTCTGCCAGAATCAGTAATCTTCAGAAAGACATTTTCGTGAACACTTTCCTTTCTAATCCACAGGAATGATGTTTTATAGATGAGGTGAAAAATAAAACAATTCCTATGACGGGAAGTAGAGGATGGAACAGATTTTGTATAATATTATTACATAAGTTAATTGTCTTCTAACATGTCCATCGGATTTACCAAAAAAATGTTAGTTGCCAACAAGTAAATGCTGGATATTTTACATTTTAGTCCTCAGTCTCTAAATCCCGAAAACAGACTATGACTTTAAGCTTTAACTTTGTTGAAACAAAGTCCTGCCGCACAGTAGTGATGTAGACAGATGGCAGGTCCCCTGTACGACTTCTTCAAATGACAAAAAGAATTTCAAAACATAGTATAATTATCTCTGCATTTTGCCGTTGCATGAACAAATCTAAGACCGCTCATGCTTTGCTCAAAAATGTAAAATATGCAAAATCATTAAATGTATTATGTAGGATTCTTCCAGAAGGTGTAATAGAGTGTTTGCACGTTATTAAGGTAATTTGCAGCAGCTCGAGTCCTGACTAGAACCAGGAAGTACGACCATATTAGTCCGGTCCTCAGGTCTCTGCACTGGCTTCCTGTGGCTCAGAGAATAGACTTTAAAACAGCTCTGCTTGTGTACAAGTCTCTCCATGGCCTCGCACCAAAATATATTAGTGACATGTTAGTCCCATATGAACCAGCCCGGACTCTGAGGAGCACAGGGACTGGACTCCTGTTAGTGTCCAGAGTCAGAACTAAACATGGGGAGGCTGCTTTTCAGATTCATGCTGCTAAAATCTGGAACAATCTTCCTGAAGATGTGAGACAGGCCTCCTCTCTGACAATGTTTAAAACCAGGTTAAAGACAGTTCTGTTTAGCTGTGCTACAACTGAGGGATTTTATATTTTTATCTTCCTTTTTAATGTTCTGTGATTATTTATGATTTTAATGCTTTCTTATTTTCTTCAGCACTTTGAGTTGCCTTGTGTATGAATTGCGCTATACAAATAAACTCTCCTTGCCTTGCCTAATTTTAGCAGTGAAATTACTGAAGAGTAATTATTTTTATGTCTAATGCCTAGCGTCTTAAACACCAAACAGGTGGAACTGATTATAAACAAACAGATGGAGGATCAGAATCACAGCTGTCAAGTGAAAACATGTGTCTTCTATCAAGGTTGAATGGTGTCTGTAAATGGTTATCATATTGATATAGTGCATAATGATCTATGTTAATGTAAAGAAAATATTCAGGAAAAAATACATTCAATACAGACAATCCCCTGGGCATTACCATCACCAGAAAGATCTGTTATCTGTAGGATAATAGTTTGACTAATTGGGAGATAGCTCACCCGTCAATCAGGGATAGTAACTATCGTCTAATCAGAAAGCAGTGGGGTGAACAAGTGTCTCTAAGTATGAAAAAAAAAAGATTGATGTTCATTTTTGTAATTCTGTCTTTTATACTCTCTTATCCTCTCTTTTAGAATGGATTTTTCCAATTGGACAGAGGGGGTGTTGACCACAAGCACCAGTGAATATGACTCACTGGAGCCCCCTGTCGCCCCCTCAGGTAAAATCCTGCTGACCATCACCCTGTCCATACTGGCCATCCTGACCACCTTCTTCAACTGCCTCGTCATCACTGCGATCGGCGTCACACGGAAGCTCCATCACCCGGCCAACTACCTCATCTGCTCATTGGCTGTGACCGACCTGTTCGTGGCCGTTCTCGTCATGCCCTTTGGAATCCTGTACATCCAAAAGGAGCGCTGGATCATGGGTCAGGCCGTGTGCACCATTTGGTTAAGCGTGGACATCACCTGCTGCACCTGCTCCATCCTGCACCTCGCTGCCATCGCGATTGACCGATACAGGGCCATTACAGATGCGGTGGAATATTCTCGCAAGCGCACCGGTGCCAGAGCTGGAGCTATGGTGGCTGTTGTTTGGCTTTTGTCCATTCTCATATCGCTTCCTCCCATGATATGGCGTTATTACAACGGAGACGCTGAGCACGAAGACGAGTGCATCATCATGCATCACCATATTACATTTACATTGTACACAACATTAGGAGCCTTTTACATACCTTTGCTCCTCATACTCATTCTCTACTACAAGATCTACCGCGCTGCCCAGACCTTGTATATGAGAAGAGAAGCCAGTCGGGCAAGTCGTCATTCCTGCATGACCAATGGAAGCATGATACCGTCAACTTACCCGGCAGGAGAGGGCGCTGAAGGCAAAAGTGCGCAGAGTTCAGAGCCAATCAGCCCAACAGAAAAGTCCACCTCTGAACCGTCAACAGAGGATCCCCCGAAAGTCCGAGCATCTGTCAGGGCTTCCCACTTCAAATCTCGCCGTCTGGAATCACGGAGCGAGTCCAGGAACGAATCAAGGCGGAGTCAGCTCTCCCAAGGACCAAGGATCTCAGGAGCGAGAGAGCGCAAGGCAGCATCCACACTTGGGCTGATAATCGGGGCTTTTGTGATTTGCTGGTTGCCGTTCTTTGTCAAAGAGGTGGTAGTGAACACATGCGGCTCATGCAGCATTTCGATGGAGATGGAGGCATTTTTGACATGGCTTGGTTACGTCAATTCCCTGATCAATCCGCTCATCTACACCATCTTCAACGAGGACTTCAAAAAAGCTTTCCAAAGACTTATAAGATGCAGCCATTATCTCTGATGGTCACATTTATGCATGGCCAGATATGCATACATTTGTCCTCTAGACAGCTGCTGCTGCTTGCATAGACAGGCTAATGGCAAAATGGCCAGAAATAATCGGCTAGATCATTTATGAAAGAATATGATCTCATAAAGGAGATGATAGACACCCATTTCTGGACACTTGAACGGCTGAAATGGCATCAGCTCATCACAAGCCTGTCCAAGTTGTTTTTCTATTAATAGCAACGCCTGATCTCCTTGATGTTAATTGCTGTGTGTTGTGGCACACTGACATGTCGGTTGTTAGAAAATGGGGCCAAAGCTGACCTTTATGAAGTCTGCCTTCTAAGCATTTGCCCTGCCCCAATTTTAAGCTTGAAATAGCTAAAGTCCTTAAAATATAACAGTTCTAGTATCAACTGATGCTAGTTTTATATGGACCAGATACACAGCCACAGTACAGGCCATCTGTAAAAAACATCTTGATATATCCAATTGTGAAGAGAATGGGTGCAATATTCCAAATAACTGTGACTATGATGGTTTACAGTGTGCTTATCTCATTTTTGTTCATGTTCTCACTGTTTAATTAGGCTTACAAATTATCAAACTGAACCAAAATTGACCATGGATATGAGACGCTTTGCATTGCCTTGTGTAGGAAAGGAGCTCTACAAATAAAGGTTGATTGATTGATTGATTGAGATTAAAATACTACCACTGTAATGTCTCTTTTTTCACCAATACCATTACTTGTAAAGTTATAGAATGTTATATTTATTGAATTATTTTGAATCCTTTAAGTATTCATTCCCTCACACCTACGCCAACTGGAATTGCTGACTGATAGTCACCAGTAAGAGGTCCTCATTACTCCACTCATGTACAGTACTTGGGATAGAACTACTATTTCTATACTGGCTCTGAGAGGGAACAGAAGTGTTAATGAAAACATTGTGAATGAGTCAAGCGTGAGGATGGATCTCCACCAGCAAGATGAAGAGTGTCATTATAATGTGTACATCTTTGACAGATATGGCCAGTATTTGTGCACTGACGTTCATTTCTCTTTACCCTGTTCAAATAATCAATAATAAAATCTTCACAGAAACGGGTTTGTTTTGTTATGTGTTTTTTTTCTCAGCCAATAATAGCACATACAGTACACTCTTCGAAGAATAGACATGAGGAGTTTGGAGGGTCATCAGCTTGATTCTTCTTGCAAATGTTCGCCACATCTTGGTATATTGGCACACTCTTGTGGATAGAAATTATACTACAGCAGTATTGTATGAAGCAATTAGCAGGGGGTAAACATAGATCCATGGGGGTAAAGGAGAATAAACACACACGAGGACAAGTTCAATCAGTTCAATCACACTAGGCATAAGTTATTACTCATTAGGCATGTTTTTCTTTCCTTAAAATATGCTAATATGAATATAATTATATAGCCATGATGAGTTCAATCTCTAAAACAAGTGGACACTTTTTGGGGACCTTATGCACGGATCCGCCGCGTATGAGAAGTTGAGAACTTGTGGTATGTTGGATCTTTAACTTTATTTGCACCACCCTCCACTAGGCGCCGCTGCACTTTAACGTGACGGGTAAACAGCATTTAAAGGCATCCCGATGATATGTGGTCATTTGGAATTAGTACATGGTCAATAATAATAATGAATCGTTCGTTTGGCTTATAGTATCCATGTTACAGGTACATTAAAAATCAGATTCAAGTAATACAGAAAGAACACATCCAAAAAGGCTTGCTTAATATTTAGTGAAATGTACAAATAAAGCAGTGATTGGCTTTTTAGGCACACATTAGCCCAATGGGCATCTTTCCTTCTCTAATTGTAATATGTATTTGAAAAAAAAGACAATAATACGAAAAAACATATATTCAAATTGACTTTCACGATATTATTGTCTACGATATATTTTGCCCACCACTACATGTGAGCTATATGCCATGTTATGAACTTATCTGAATGTTAATAATACCGCACAAAAATAGTAAATAACCACTAGAAAAATCTTGAAAAACAATAATTTTAAATTCTTGTCAAATGTGGAGGATGAATGAATACACGTATTAAAAACCTCAATCAGAAATTATCAATAGAAATAGAACAATTCAGGCAACAGCGTCAACCCATTTCCAAATATAATATAAATGCTTTAGTACGTGAGCCTTAAACATTTGCAGATCAGACTCTATCAATACCAACTCAAACCTTTTGCACATTGCTTTAAGATTACGACACCAGGTTGCCAGGTTGGTTGTTACTGTCGGAAGCTGAAAAAAGAATCGCGTTTCTCCAACCTGGCAACCTTGGTCTATGCGCCTGATTCCGAGTCCAGTATGGCGGACACAGAGAGCGATGTGGAGACGGACGGGCTGGATTCTGCCCTGGACACACTCAGTACCGGTCACTGTGCGGACGGGTCGCTTCTCAACAGTAAAACGTACTGTTCTGCTTTTTGTGAGGTGCGTCGTTCCCACGTGTCTCTGACGTCCATCAGACTGAGCTGTGTTTGTAGCTTATGCTAATGTTAGCATCCTGCATAGCTGTCCTCTTTAGTGTTATTTAGCTCAAACAAAGCCTAGTTTGGCCCGTGTTCTCCTCTATAATACGTTAACATGATTCTATTTCTCATTCACTGTTTATAAATCACGACTAGAGCTGTTTATAGTTTGACTTTACAGTTAAAATGATATGTTTAGCTTTCCCGTTAGCTGGTTTGGCTACATGACACCACCACTATGACAGTACTTAGCGTTGCGTTTAGTGACTAATCTAGTCGTAATTATGTTTCTAGTGATTAATTTTAGTTTTATTCAAAGATTAGTAGTAATTTGTTCACATAAGCGGTTATTCAAAGCGGGTTGTTATGGATTATTTACAGTCTGTCGTGACAGGATGCACTTATATTCTGTAGTTATATGCTTTTGGTTCCCATATGTGATATGATGCTTTTACCTTATGAAAACCATTGTAGTCTGCTACAGTGGTCCCTGGTCTTTACTGTTTATCCATAAACACCATTTTATTAAGATAAGATAAGATGTACTTTATTAATCTCACACAGGAGAAATTTACACGTCACGTTTGGCATGGACAGAAACACTCAGATTGTTCAGAAAGTAAGAAATGTGCAAACAGGACAGGACATAGGTACAAAAAAGTGGCAATTAGAAAGTGGCTATGAGAAGTGTCAATAGTAGTGCAGGTTTTATCAGTCTTAGTGCAGTGACTTAAAGTGTCTTATTGTACAGTCTGACAGCGGTGGGGATAAAGGCCCTGCGGTAGCGCTCCTTCATATTGATATGATGTTGTTTACATGTTCACAGCTGGTTGAAGAATACACTGGACAATGGCATGTTCCACTTCCACAGCTGAAAGTGCTCCGGACCGCTCTCTGCAGTTTCACCAAAGCCACGACTGCCTTCCCCGATGACTGCCAACATGTTCACTATGTCCTCAGCAGTCTGGCTTTGTACGTCTGGTGCATCTAGTGAACGGGTTTGTTTATATCACAGTGTGATGGTGTCTTTAACTGCTTATTATGCTGCATTGCAGGAGCTTCTTTGAGTTGTTGCTGTTTTTTGGCAAAGAAGAATATGGGGAGCAGCCTCTTAAGGACATTTTTGATTCTTTTCTGGTAAAGGATAAAACACAGAGATGTTGTTCTGTATAACTCCTTTAACACAACAAATGTTTGTAGGAATGCCACTCTAAACTTTTGAGACATCGAAACCTTTACCTTCATCATGTCAAGTTGACTCTGAAGTCTGGAGGCCCATGGGAGAATCTCGTATTGCAGGGAATCTTAAAAGAAGCTAATGTAGTGCAAAAAGATGGTAGGTAGAAGTTGTATTTGATAATGTTTTTTTTATTTTACAATAATCATTACTTCATTAGTTCCCCTTTTTCTTGGCTTACAGTTGAGGACTATTTGAGCTCAGAGTTGCCCATACTCCTTGAGCTGCGGGTTCGGTATTTGCAGGCTTGTGAGCGCATACCGGAGGCAATGGCTCTGTGCAAGTGTTGCCTGGAAAATCGGGAGATAGGAAAGCATTTGTTCTTTCACCAGGCCTACCTGACCTGCCTCTACAAGTCATCGCTGCATGAACACCTGCTCAAAAAAGTAAGTTAATAGAGAAACAAAGCCATTGAAAGAAACATTCTAATATTTGTTTCTTCTTGGTGTGTTCAGATGGCAGATATTGACGGGCGAGATGCTGTGGAGATCATCTGTAATACTGAGAGTGTTGAAAAGGATGATCTCCTGCTCTCCCTCTGTAAACATTTTCTTACACAACAGCTACGTAATGGAGACATGTACTACATATGGTGAGTTTTTCACCAGAGTGAGTCTACTGTTAACCACAAATGTCAAGTTGAAAATGATTTTTTTTGGTTGTTCCTTTATTTCAGGGACCTTGTATTCATTTGGAGCAGGTTGTATCTCAGAGCACATCCATCGAGAGACCAGTTTCTCTCGGAGTGTTTGAGTCTGTCTGATTCTGCCACTAATGTTAGAGCCATCTTCCCCTTCATCAAACTCGTCCATACAGAGGTGAGCGGTCTTAAGATTCTGAGGGCCTACCTACACCTATTTATTTTTTTGTTACATTAAACGTACAAATGCTGCCACTATTTAACAAATTGTCACACGTTTATCTTGAAGCTCGGTGGTGAGGGGATCCAGGTGTGTGTGGAGCTGTGTGTCAGAGCCCTGCAGTTGTGCGACCTTCACTCCGATGCCACGACGCGCTCTCTGGTGTGTAAGACCATCGCCTTCCTGCTTCCTCGTGACCTGGAGGTGTGCCGAGCCTGTGCCCTGCTGGTGTTCTGTCAGGAGCGCAGTCTGGAGTCCTACCGCACCGTCTGCTCTCTGTACAAACACCCCGATGACGAGCTGCACCCACAGAACAGCCCCGTCAGAACCTGCGTCCGCTTCCGTATTCTCCAGGTCAGCCCACTTTCTTATTATGCTAGGCTTGGGGGTGACAGAAGCTCAGTTGATCATCAATCCAATGAACAAAGGATTACTTCAAACTCTCTCTTTTGCACTCGTATCCTTGTGTCTTTGGGGGAGAAAATGACGCCTACACACAAAGAAATAAATCAGCACTTAATGAGAAGTGTATTAACTTGGAGGTAAACCAGAACTTTTTTATAGAGTGTAACTGTATCTCTTGGAGGCTTTTGGTTGAAATGATCATGTCCAAGGTACTAGAACCTGGAGAACTGAATTTGGTTTATGGTTTTATGGTTGGTGATATGGGAGATTGGTACTTGCACCTAATTCTTGCCGCAGAGTTGTCAAAGTGTTGTTTTCAAAGTGTTTTTTGAAAAGTTAGAAACAAATAGATAATATACACTCAAGTAAAATGTTCATATATAGCTACCACTAGAAGAAAGTTTGAACATGGATTAAATCTTAAATCTTTTTTTTTCTCCCCAGAAACTAAAGGAGCACCTGTGTTTTGACCCTGAGTTTTGGAACCTTCTTACTCTGAGGACTCGCTGCTTGGAGTTGATCAGTGATAAAACTTTGCAAGCAGCTGTTCTGAACGAAATCGAAGAGGAGAGAAACTGTGAGGCTCAGGCAGCTTACAACTCTGTAGACGAGTCCCGAGTAGAGCAGTTGGTATCACCGAGAGCTGAACACAACGTTAATAACAGTCAAGTGGAGAACACAGACGCTGAGAACGTTTTGCCTCTTACCGAAAGGGAAAACGTACCAAAGAGGAGACGAGGGAGGAGAAGAAAGGTCGAAATCGAGAGAGAGAGACTGGCCAAAGCCATTGCCGAGTCTAATAAAGACGATGATCCAGAAGTGGTTTTTGACATCCAACCTGATAAGTCTGACTCATATTCACTCAGACATATCCACAAAAACCGAGAGAACGCTGCGCCTGTTAAGTTTCCGCTGAACCGTAATCGAGAGTACTTGACCAGGTGTGTGAAGAACCAGCTCCTGACGCGACGAGGGCACAAGAGGTGGCTCCAGGGGATGCAGACTCTAGACCGGGAAGAGTTTCTAAAGGTCAAGCGCATCCTGTACAAAGGCAAGCAGAGAGGAAGAAAGCCATTTTACAGAGTGGAGTTTAGCTTTCCCGATAATGAAATTCAGGTTGTTAAGGAATCTCTACCGGGGAGTCGTATCGTCACAACTTCAGAAGAGGAAGGCGTTCAGTCAATAAAGGATGATTCAAAGCCAGCACTGGCTTCAGCAGAGAAAACCAGTTCTTTAGCAGAAGCCAGTCTCCCCATGGAGGAGGAGCGTGTCCCAGCGATGGAGGGGGATCCTGCGCTGGACGGGCCGGTGGTGGACTTTCCGGACTCTGCCACAGAAGTTTTTCACAGCTACTGCCTCAACTCTCGCACGGCGGAGGGTGAGGAAGGGAGAGATTCAACAAAACCGAAAGTTGTTGCAAAATCAAAAGAGCCCACGAAGTCCGACCATGATCCTAAACCTGAGAAGTCCACACATTCTGAACGGTCGAATGGAGATGAAGCTTATCAACCAGTGGAAGCCACAGAGTCGGATTCAGAGCTGGAGGTATGCTTCTTCCTCTAATATTCTTAAAATAATAGTTTGAATGGAACTGGAATAAGGAAACAATGAAAAGGGTTGCTTAGTTTTACTGAATCACCATGTACATAATGTGTTATATAGTTTTAATTTATAACTTGGAAGATCTCTTAGCCTTGATATAAATCTAGCCAAGACATACATACAAAACGTATGTATTGTAAAAATTTAAGCTGTGTTTTTTTTTTTTTTTTTAAATGTCTAGTAAGGCAAGGCAAGTTTATTTGTATAGCGCAATTCATACACAAGGCAACTCAAAGTGCTGAACAAAACAAAGCATTTAAATCATAAAGAAATCACTGTACAATAAAAATATATAAAATCCCTCAGTTGTATGCACAGCTAAACAGAACTGTTTTAAACCTGGTTTTAAACATTGTCATTGAGGAGGCCTGTCTCACATCTTCAGGAAGACTGTTCCAGATTTTAGCAGCATGAATCTGAAAAGCAGCCTCCCCATGTTTAGTTCTGACTCTGGGCACTAACAGGAGTCCAGTCCCTGTGCTCCTCAGAGTCCTGGCTGGTTCATATGGGACTAACATGTCACTAATATATTTTGGTGCGAGGCCATGGAGAGACTTGTAACAAGCAGAGCTGTTTAAAGTCTATTCTCTGAGCCACAGGAAGCCAGTGCAGAGACCTGAGGACTGGACTAATGTGGTCGTACTTCCTGGTTCTAGTCAGGACTCGAGCTGCTGCATTTTGAATGTACTGCAGCTGTTTTACAGCCTGTTTGGACAGACCTGTGAGCAGGCCATTGCAGTAGTCTAACCTACTGGAGACAAATGCATGGATAAGAATCTCCAAGTCTGCTTTAGACACTATGTTTTTGATCCTGGCAATGTTTTTTAGATGGTAAAAAGCTGCTGATGTCACTAGTAACACATTAACTAAACAACAGATCAGAACTTGAGTAGATACTGTGTTTCTCATTCGTTGGGCAACATTTGTCTTTGGTTTCAACAGTGCGATAATGATTTGTTGTGGTAAAATGCACGGCCAGCATGGCCCAACAGAGTTGTGTTGTAATGATCTTTAAAGCCATGAGCACTGCATTTCTTTGAAAATCCAAAACTCGTCTGGCCATTTGTTTTGCAAAGTTATTTTTAGATAAATATTGCAGTTTTTGCTGTTTGAAGTAAGAAACTGCAATGTTGAGAACAGAATGTATCATGATATTTACACATACATTGAAGTAAACTGAAACACGTGGGTCCTTTAGAACACATTTAGAACACAGTTTGGCAGCTGAATGTAACTGAATTCCTTCTCGTTGCAGGTTAATAGAAAGAAGACGTGGCAGGAGAGATTATTGCGGCAACAAAAATACAGCCACATTTCCCACTCGTGCAAGACATGCAACAAAACCTACCGTGGCCTGAATGTGCTGAGGCACGGCCTCTCGCACATTAAGAAGAAACGCAAACATTGCATTCTCTGTGGCCAGCGTTTGAGGGACATTTCTGTGGCAAGCAAACACATCATGGCACACATGGACGAGATGTGTAAAAAGAAAACTGAGGATGAAGCCAGCCATGGTGTGGACACAAGTGAAAATAAAGAAGAGCATCATAATGGCAAAGTGAGCGAAGAGGGCAATGAGAGAAATACAGTGTTAGAAAGTAAGACGGTTCAAGTAACCCCGACAGCCAATGGCACGGACACACCCTCTGTACCACTTGATGACAACTCAAAACCCAATGTTGCAGATGAAACCGAGGCGCCAAAAACCAAAAAACCTTGCAGATTCAAATTCACAGAGCTGAAAATTGAAGAGCGGATAGCCAGGCACGTGCGTAATCTCTTCAAAAAGCGATTTGTGTTCACCAAATGCAACAAGGACATCATACCCCACAACTACGAGTTCAGCGAGGACCAGGTGGTGATTGAAGGCGATTTGGTGATTGTCAAGAACGTGCCCATGCGTCCGGAAAGCGCCAAGGAGGAGGACGCCGCAGAGACCGAGCAGGAGTCTCCGGTGAAGGAGGAGAACAGTGCTGAGGAGGCAAAAGGCAAAAGTGAAGCAGCAGCAGAAGAAGACGAAAGCCCGTTTGTCATTCAAGATCTAGTTTACTATCTGTGTCCTGGCGAAGGCTGTGACAAAGTCTTCCACAAGCTGGGCCACACCATGACCAAGCACGCCATGAAGTACCACCTGGGCGACGAGAAGGTCCAGGAGTGTGTCTTCAAATGGTCCCGGCAAAAGTGCAACCTCTGCATCAGGTAAAACATGCTCTGGTCCAAAACATTGTAGTTTGGTAAAAATAGTTTAAATGTATTGCTTTTAACATATAGCACAAATATGGTTGATTTTGTTTTGGATGTTCCGTGTTAGCGTACCCCAAATTCACTCTTAAAAAGTCATTTCCTGGTAAGGTTGCAGATGAGTGTAACTACTTGATAGCTTACTTGTTGTGACAAAGGGGTAAAAATAAACTACCGTAAAGGGAAAGAAAAGAAAAGGACACTTTGGGAAATTCAGAGCCCAATTTTATCTAGTCTTGTTTGAGCACCTGATATTTGACTTTGACGACTCATTAAGGCATTCCTATTCCTTGGTTTTTGTTCAGTGTGGAAAGCTTAACACAATGAACATAGATATTTGTTTGATCCCCTTAGGTGAAATTCAGGTGTCCAGTAGCAGTGAAAATAAGATGGATAATTCTAAAAAGCTAACAATAGTAAGTAATAATCGTAAGTAGTAGTAATAACAGTAGTAATGGTAAGTGATAATAATCCATTGGGAAGTGAATCGGTTACACAGGAAACTAAAGAATGCACAAGATATGAGTCACAGATAGACACTTGGCGCATTACAGGTGGATAATTGTAAACATTATCATTCTTAAAATGTCTCATAACTCCTGTTTCCATGTTTGTCCCGCTCTTCCAGGCACTTCACTCTCCTCTCGCACTTCAAGGAGCACATGAAGCTGCACGTGGCTCACCCGCAGTACTTCTGTTACCACCAGAACTGCGGCCAACGCTTCGCCACGTTCCAGGAGATCCGGAACCACGAGACGCAGCACTCGCCCTTCAAGCCGCAGTGCACGTACACGGCCTGCGAGAACGTCTTCACCAGCATGTTTGCACTCAACGACCACGAGTGGAGACACTACATCCCCACTCCCCTCAAGAGCGACCTGGAGACTGGACCCCACAAACTCAAGCGGCAAAGCGACGAAGCGCCTTGGAAGCAGAGAGTGAAGGTCGAAGAGTTATGGCTGCAGAGTACGAACACGCCGAGAGAGGACACAAACTCAAGAACTTCTAATAAACCTGAAAGCAATGACGCAAAGAAAAGAGATTCGGAAGTGAACACGGAAGAGGCCAAAACAAATGGGTATTATGAAAAAATAGACTTGTTGTCACACTCTTCCAAACCGACTACCGGGAAAAAGAAGGCGCCCCCTGAAATTGACCCGCTGAACGTCAAAAACCGTGCAGTAAACGCGACGATAGAACACGTGGTCGAACCCAACGGCCCTGAGGTGCCCCTACTCGAAGAACACAAAAAATTTAAACCGGACGACCCGGTCTTCAAAAGCATATTCAAAGCCCCTCTGATCCGACCCCCGCCCAGCATGTACATGAACGAGGCCGAGCTGTCCATGCGCAAGAGGAAGATCGAAAGGACTTACCCGGGGCCAAAATACCCGCCGTGGAATCCCCGGAATAAGGAACTAAAAGTGGAACCAGAGCCGCCGAAATCGCCTGAACCCGAACCTGAGATCAAGATCCGGTATCGGTGCGACAAATGTCTCACGTTTTATTGCACTCCGGAAGAGCTGGATAAACACAGATCTCTGAACAACTGCTCCGCACTCTTTGGGTTCGACTCGGATGACGAAAGTAAGTAAACATCATTATTATTATTATTATTATTATTATTATTATTATGTGGATTTAAAGAGCTAAATGACTGTTGTCTTTTTAGGTTGATGAGAACTGAAGCTGTTACGGTGCAATACTTTCTGTGTCGACTACTTCAAGTAAACGTCGCTCCATCCTTTTTTTTCATGTTTTCTAATTTGAGGGAAGGTATTTTCTGTTTTGAATTGTCAGCATCTCGTAGACTTTAAGATCCAACTTTAAACTGCATGATCCAGATGAATAATTCCCAAACCGGGGTCTGGTTTTCCAAATAAGCAGCCACTGAGATTGATTTCATTTGTAAATTATTTAGTTAAAAATACGACAGTGAATTTATCAACTGAAATAATGAAGTTTTGTATTTTGATTTGCATTTTAAACAAAGAAAGAAAAAAACAGACTATGAAACATGATGGGATTTGTAGATTGGATTTTGATCTCAAGGGAATATGTTCCAACAACTGGCATTTAATCATGAAATTACTATAAACAATGCATTTTCTGTCAATAATTTGAACATCGTCTTATTTTGTGATTTTTGATATTTTTGTGTTGTCTTCCAGGACTGCTAATCCGTATTAAGTAGCAAATGTTCTTCATTGGTGAGAAGTAGCACTTGTTTAGAACAATTATGTCAGGGAATGTTTTCTGTTAATCATTTCATGTGTTTTGTTGATCGGCCTTTCTCGTGTTACTGTGTTCAGCAAAAACCAAATTACATAAATAATGAATTATTAGTGCCATAATAACTGAATGAGTGTTTTAACAGTCCTGAAAGGGGTTCCATATTAATTCTACCCGTTTTGTTTATATGTAAATACAGAAGGTTGACTTAATGAGTTTGGATTTGTTTCATGGAGATGCCTGCCTCGGTTATTTATTTATGTAAATATGTCAATAGACGGGATTTGTAAAGATGAAAATAGTCAATCTATTTTTGTTTAAAAAAAGGTGGGATTTGTTTCAATAAACAATGATGCATTTAATACAATCGCCATCGTTTTATTTTCACAGCAGTTTCATAAAGGTAGGAGCTGTCAGAGACAAAATAGTACAATATTATTCCTTAAACATTGCATATATCTCATGTTCTGTTGTATTGCTTTGAAACAAGAAGTGTAGTCAGGGCGTTTGTATCACATGCCTGGAAGAACATTTCAAAAGAGACTTACACATAAATGACATTTGCTACATTTACCAACGCATGAACTAATTATTATCTAGCTCTTGTTCAGCTGATCTGTCAGACTGTGCAGGATCATACCTCATGCTTCCAGCAGAAAAGAAAAGGATCAAAACATGCAGCATCCGTTTCATTAGTTTGTCTTAAAATCTTAAATAACAAAGGCCAAGTCTTTCCAAAAGCTACTGATAATAATCTATAAAAAGGCATTATAAAACACTTCATGCAAGAACCTTGCCAGAAAAAGGTAATCATTTAAAGACCTTTAGTCGTGGCTTAAAAACCGTAAGATACAACGGCAGAAAACAGATTTTTTTCTTGAGTTGGTGAAGAAAGATTATTGCTCAACATGCATCAAAGCGGCAACAACTTTGATAAAAGTAGATCAGTGGTTTAGGCCAATATTTATGACTGTTTTTCACTTCTGTTAATGCCCTTGAGAGCAGAAGTTTTTTCTGACTGTTGAATGGCTTCATAAGGCAAAGGCAACATGCTCGTGGTCAGAAAGCTGCCGACGCTGCATGTCCAGAATAATGCCCCTACTGTACAATAATAGGCTTTTAGACTCCTGAGTTACTTGTTCTATGGAAATGGAACATACAATTGAAACATAACTTCACGGACGAGTCTTTAAACATAAGAAACATGACGAGAGTGCACAGCACAGTGAGATTATTGCATAAATATTGTAATGGAAGAGAACCACTAGTTTCCATCTGCTGTAAATAGGCCCTCAGTGCGATAAGAGAGGGACGTGTGCAAAGCTGGGGTGTGCGTCATGCTCAGTGGCTGCTGTTGCTGGTCCAGTCGTAGGGGAGGTAGCTCACTTTGGTCTTGCCTGCAGACACCACATCCTGCAGATTGGACTTCTTAGGAGAGTCCGCCATGTGCTCCAGGACCCAGGTCAGCAGCTGGAAGAGCAAGTGTGTGTCAGATAACACAAGAACAGATGTCTTTCATCTCTTCTCAAACTTGCCTTCTCATCAGTGCCTCCAAAGTCAGTCTTGTACCACTTAAATATTTGACTGAGCCTGACTTCTTTCTTCCCAGAATCCACCACACAGGCATCATCGTTCTCTAGGAAGGCCTCTGCAGCAATCCTGAGCTGGTTGTCAATGTCCTAATGAGAAAACATAATATTTCTTCTTTTAAAAGAGGAGACAAAAAAGGAAAGCTCACGTGTTACTGCTGTACCTGTGGGGTGTATGTTTTAATCGGTGGACAGCCCTTTGCGCCACAATTCAAGGCAAAATGAATAAGCGGCTCCGCATCAGGCAGCGCCATCTAGCAGGGAAGGTCAGGAATGACATGATTATATTTATTAGAAATGATATACGTCATTTAATTGGATGTAACAAACCTGGAGTCGTGGGTCGGTTTTTGAAAAGGGTCTCCGTAGTTGTGCAATGCCCTTTCTGTTTCCCCTCAAAACCCCATTTTCAATGTCCTGGAGTGTAAATACCTCTCCTCCAATCAGGTAGCTCACATAGTTGAAGAACTATGACAGAAGATTGTGAGAAGTGCATTGAATTTATGAATGGATCCAAACTAAACAGAGCTGTTTGCTGCTTTACCTTGTATCTCTGCCACATGTTGGTGGGAGCTCCCAGACGTAGAAACCCATGAATGACCAGTGCGTTGTAGATATTGATGAAGAAAGCCAGTTTCTCCTCTCGGCTCAGAGACAGCAGCTCCACTCTCTGCAGCTGAATGGCCAGGTCACAGTATCGATCAAAGGCTGGGTTTGCAGACATGCCTTTGTAATCCACAAACTGAAAAATACAACAGACATAAACAAGAATTCTGAACTGTTGCAGATTTAAAATGCGTAAAGTCGGGGTGATACCTTGCCATCAGCAGAGAGATGTTGAGAAAACAGCTTCAGGATGAGATCGCGTAAAATCAGGGACAGCTCAGCGGCTGCATGAGAATAAAACAAGAAAGTTACAAGCAGGACAAGGACGCAATATTTGGAAATATGAACAAAGAATTAGGTGTTGATCATTAAATGAGTTAGGAATAGCAACAACACTTAGTACAAGACAAAAGCGCTTTTAAATTTACCAAATCAGTGAAAATAACACATTTCATACACAATTAGAAATATTCAATAAATGCATTTTGTTAGTTATTAGACAAGGACTTCCTACACAGAAGGGTGCATCAAATTTGATTTAAAAATGTCCATTTGGTTCCTATTACATAAAAAATTGACCCTTACAAAGTTTCGAGGAAATCCATTGATATTTAGCGGCGCCAGCTAATACAAGAAATATTGCAAAATTACCTAAAAAATAGATTGACGTGGGGTCTTATTTACCTCAGATCTCCATGGCAACTCTTTTTTAATGCACCCTACTGCACAGAGATGACCTGAACCAAACTAATCTGGCTAAAGCTGCGGTACCTTACTTTTCTGTTTCATAAATAATACATCCATCCATTTTCTTCCCCTTAATCCCTTTCTGGGTCGGGGGGGGGGGTTGACAGTCAAAGCTGCACCCAGTTCACAGAGCACCAGCCCCTCACTGATCCTCCTGCAGGTGGTGAGTCCACAGGAGCTGAGATCTTTCAGCGGGGGCTTCAGGCAAAGTGGGGTTAAGTGTCTTGCCCAAGGACACAACAACAACAGTCATCAGTGGGAGTTCCTAAGGTAGGTCTCGTGGTGGGCTTGAACCCACAACCTTCAGGCTCAAAGGCCAATGCTCTACCAACTGAGACACTGTCGCCCAATAATACATTTGTTCGTCCAAATGGAAAGAGTATTGTAATTAAAAGTAAAATGGTGTGAACAAATAATACTCTCTCTATATCATTAGATTTTATTTTTGTAAACTTGGCTGCGTGAGGGTGGTACTCTCAATTTGACAAAAAAGTGAGGATAAAAATGAATGTGAAAACAATTATGGAACTAAACTTTAGTTAATCTTGAAAGCTAAGTACCCCAGCTTTGAGTAAACACAAAAACATTGAGTAATTAGTCCACATTGCCTTCCCCTAATTACACAGACAGACCAACACACAATCCAGCATCTACCTCTCAACAACCAAAGATCATAAACCAAGCAGAGCCATCACCAGCGCAGGTTAAAAGCGTTTGCGACACCCATGAGCTTGTGTCTTTCCTCGGTTGACTTGCTTTGCTCTGACCTACCCGGGATGGGGCTGCAGGCGGCGGTTTGTCCAGCGTTCAGAGCAGCGTGAGGGTCGTCTTCCAGTAACCTAAACAGATTCTCTCCAAAATCGTCCTGCTGATTCCCAGAGCAATGCACCCTCACCATGTACTTCTTCTGCAACAAAGCCTGGCCAGTGCTAAACGCCTCCTCTACGGCTAATGCACATGACATCATCAGGAGCCGTCAGGTCATACGTAACAAAGAACCAGCCTAAACTTACCCAGGCCCTTCTCCTTCTGCAGCCAATCAAGCAGCTGGTCACCTGAGAAGCTCTTTTTGTGCACGGTCAGTCCTCTCCTATGATTGCTGATCACACTGCCATGTTTGAAGTCCTCAACCAGGTTTGCCAACTCATCCCTCGCACACATAAAGTCTGGGAGCACAAGTTAGCCATGCAGATTACTAATTATTATATTTTGGGAATGATCCTACGCCACCAAGGCCACCAGTTAAATTGAAGGATGCGATTCAAATACAAATACGCAGTGTATTGTGTCCTTTTCAGATTACTACACAACTCAAACCTGGAGCAAACTCTTCAAATTTACATCTGACTTTTATGGAACGATGTGATGTATTCATGTAAATGTTGACAGAAGAATTATGGTCAAGCAGCCCTATTTTCACATGGCACTGTATTCTTTTACATTGTAATTAAAGCTGGGGGGCTAAACTTAAACAACAAAACAAACTATTTTCACAACAGAAAAGGTCTTGTCAATGTAGTGAACAAATCAGACAACATTCTGTCTTAATCTTATTATAGAATATTGAATAACTAATTTTATCTTCTCACTTCAGCCTGAACACACTCTCTCTCTCTCTCTCTCTCTCTCTCTCTCTCTCTCTCTCTCTCTCTCTCTCTCTCTCCTCTCTCTCTCTCTCTCTCTCTCTCTCTCTCTCTCTCTCTCTCTCTCTCTCTCTCTCTCTCTCTCTCTCTCTCTCTCTCTCTCTCTCTCTCTCTACCTGCAGGACTCTTATCACCACTTCAAACAAACATGACTAAGCAACTCTACACAAGCAGCACAGAGAATGCAGAGAATGTCACCACTGAGGAATCAAACGGGAATATTTCATTAAAAACAGAGAAAATCAACAGTGAAGACTTGCCTCTGTCTGACTCTGCCTCAGTGTCTTCAGCAGAACTCTCCGAGGGTAAAGGTGGACCGTCTGTGGATATTGGCTCATTTTTCACCAAATTAACCAACCTCTCAAGCTCTGTGGGATTCTGTGGAGTTCAAAAGCAATACATCATTTTGATTGTACCAATTACCAATTTTTTTATTGTAGTTATTACATAAACAAAATGTTATTAAGTTATGTTACACATTCAAGTAAAGTAGTATTAAGTAAAGGATTTTCCAAAATGGTCATGCCACAATGATTCATTTGACATTTGTTCTAGTGGCTCTTGAGATTTTTATATCTGTGTTTTCGTGACTTAACACAGATCATTAATAATCGTAATCATTTGGTGAATTATGAAAACAAAAAAAAATCTGATTTCAGACACCACATGTAGCAGCACATCAGGATGAGGACACATGCTCTTTTCTTAAATCCTAAAGTTTAAGGAATCAGATTGTACCATGTTCTGCAGGTCGTCGTTTCCCCCGATATGAACACTGTTGAAGAATATCTGCGGGACAGTGGAGCGCCCGGTCAGCTGCTTCACTCTGGCCCTGAGCTCCGGATGCTTCCCCAAATCCACATCACACACTGGGACGCCCAGACCCCCCAGGGAGGCTTTGGCCTGCACACAGTGTGGACAGCCAACAATAGAGTACACGGTCACCCGCCCTGGGGGACCACTCTCCATCTCCTCCATCTGCAGAAGACCTACAGTCTATCAGTTGATTAATATATTCTTGCATTAAAATGTAATAATTTAATTATCTATCAGAGCATCTGTTGACCTAACCCCTTTGAATGATCTTTCTCAATTAATATGTTTCCAGCTATTCCAAATAAATGCAATTCACTAGGTTTTTTGCAGTAGTTTAGCACTACAACAGTTCAGTAGCTTCTATACAATATTTGATTTATATAAACATATCAATTCAGAAATGTTCTATGCATGGTTTTAGAATAACAGACATACATTACAAAGAAAAGTAGCGTTGAATTAAAATATATAAAAACTGACCGGTCTTTCTACACACATTAATCTATGAGGAAGTGTTTTTTATGTCTTTTGTAACGGCTGGTCAGTTACCAAACACATTTCCTTATGACAAAACAACAGATAAGAGTACAGAGCAATACCTATTCGAAAATAGGTCCATAACAAGTGAGATAGCATTTTAATAAATGACAATTTCCCGGTTAGATAATTAAACACAAAACCTATAGAGTGACATTTGACACAATCTTAAATTAGAATAGCGTCATATGTAGCTAAAGGCAACTTGGCTTTGTTATAATACGTGCATGTATGTTAGGTTACCTCTGGACACCAGGTATTCACAATAATAACGTTCCATTGTTACCTTACGGCGCGTTTCTTTCAGCGTTTGCTAGTGATGAATATGCCTAAAACATGTCCTGCTGGTATAAAAATGATTGGAGATGACAGCGGGGAAACGCGAGCTTCTCTTCGGCTCTAAATAATCCACATTTACCGAGCGTCACTGCGGCACGGAGCGTCTCCATGAGGCTGCGTCCTGATGCGTTCAGGGGCGGTACGTACACAAAGCCCCTGCCTCATTGCGTTGACAAGTTGAAGACTACGTTGTCATTATTAAGTCATATTCCAGCATTCGTTGTGTTTTCGTCATATCAATGCCATGTGCGCAATAACTCAATGTATGAAATATTAAAGGATATTTATTTCAAGACTTCCGTGTTGCGTGGACCCGGAACTTTTGGATGATGCATGTTTCTGTACGACTGCATTGAGGTGGCGGACATAACCGAAGGGGGGGTAGTTACATGTAGCACCGTGAAAATGGCAGGATTATCAGCGACAGAGCGAGACGAATGTACCAAAATATTATCTCAAATGAAACAAATAGATTTATTGTCACTCAGCGACACTGTGACGAATAAGATGATTCTTGTGGAGAGTGTCAAAGGTACCATTTTGTAGATTTAAATTCTATTAAAAAGTTTACGCGTGAGTTTAGCGGGTTTAAGCTAAATACAATGCATTTGTTTTGTTTGATCTATTCATTATGTTTTTTTTATTTTCAGCCTGGTAGTGTTTTAGAGTTTGATAATAATTCTTTCCATGGACTTAAAACATATATGTAGTCTTGCACATGACAACTTTGCTTGTTCATACTACGTCATTACATATTACAGAGGCCATGGATTCGGTCCTGTCTTTCACCAAATCTGCGGAAGAGCTGCTGAGGAGAAAGAAAGTTTATCGTGAGCTTATATTTAAATATCTTGCCAACGAAGGTGTTATTATGCCCTCAACAAGTGAAAAGCACGCACTCATTAAAAAGACCTTGGAGCTTTGGTCATCTAGGCAGGTATGGGAATGTTGATAGAGAATGTTGAATGGAGTGTATATCATATTATATTGTTGTACATGACAGATTGCATTTTCTTACAGACAACTAAACCACAAGGACAGACCGGCAACAATCAAGATGAAAAACGTACAGAAACAGATTCCACAGAAGTAAAAACGGATCCAGATTTTGATCTTCAAATCCTCGGCCAGCAATTCTGTCAGTGGTTTTTTGGACTTTTGAACAGCCAAAACCCGGCTCAGAGTCAAGGGCCTCAAGACTGGGGACCTGAACACTTCTGGCCAGATGCTAAACTCAATCTTCTTGCACGGTAAAAATAATAATTTTTTTGGGGGGTCGTGGGTCATAAATATGAAAATGTGTACAATCTTATACAGACAAATAAACACAACATATTAGTTTGGGATGGAGCCGCAGCCATGTTTGTGGGGGGAAAAAGAATTGTGATAATAACGTCTTTGAAATGTTTTTGTCCAGAGTCAGTGGAGAACAGATGGAAGAGTTTGTTGGTGCGGACGTGGTCAGTTCCCGTCTCGTGGCATTGACCCGTGAAGAGCGTCTGTTATTTCAGCCGAACCTGGAGGGCCACGGTCTAAAGGGTCTGTCGTCCCCCCACGGCCTGGTGCTGGTGGCTGTGGCCGGGACCATCCACAGAGACTCGTCTTGTTTGGGAATATTTGAGCAAATATTTGGACTCATCAAATCTCCTGTGAACAACACGTGGAAAATAAAGTTTGCTAACTTGAAAATCCGTGGCCAGGATGCCATCACTGACAAAGATGTGTCTGCTCCAGCACTGACTTATAACTCAAGCGACTTACAGCTTATCTGTAGTGGAAACTAAATAACACTGAGGTTTACTTACAATGCATACGAATTATCATATTATTATATATTCTGGGGAGAAAGTTCTATAAGATATTAAGATATGTATTTTGGTTGTCTTTGCCTTATTGCACTTATATGTAGAAATGTTTGTAAATATTTGCCAAATAATACAGATTATATTATTTCAGTAAATACCTGTGTACTCTTTTTTTCTATTATTATTTTTTTTTAATTAAGAATATTTTTTCCACTATAACCATACTTTTTCAAATGTTTGTTGGTTGGAAGAATTTAGATACAACGTTACTATGCGGGAATACAAGAAAATATGCATCCATCCATTTTCTTCCTCTTAATCCATTTCTGGGTCGGGGGGGATGGCCAGAGATGCCACCCAGTCATGGCAAAGTGGGTGAAGTGTCTTGCCCAACAACAGCAGACATCAGTGGAGAAGGTCTCGCTGTGGGCTCAAACCCGTGACCTCTAGGCTCAAAGCCACTGTCGCTCCAACAACAAAATATCTTTAACAATGTAAACAAGAATGAATACATGTTATACCAGGGTTAAAAGTTTTGTGTGATGCAGTAACTTTAGGAGAACCGACAATGGAGCTTTGAAGTTACGCCTATAAAGTTTCCTGTGGTATAATTCCAAATAAATAGGTTTACCAGGAACATGTAACCGCTATCCAGAGCATTTGGATTGATCTGAAATAAACACCATTGAAATGTTTTATTTTTTTCCTTAACCTTGTGATAAATATTATTTGAAAAACATACTATATAATGTAGAATTTACTGAACTAGTATGGAATCGATGGAAAACGATGACTGCTGTCGTTGTGTCCTTGGGCAAGACACTTAACCCCACTTTGCCCAAAGCCCCCACTGAAAGATCAAGGCTATGCTCACACTCAGAGAGCAGCCGTCCTCCTGTGGACTCACCACCTGCAGAGGGTCAGTGAGGGGCTGGTGCTATGAGACTTGGGTGGCATCTCTGACTGCCACCCCCCTGACCCAGAAATGGATTAAAGGGTAGAAAATGGATGGATGGATGGATGGATGGATAGTATGGAATCTTTTATAGTAAGAAGAAGGTCCTTCACTCGTCCCACAATCGGGAAATTTCGGTTTAATGCTATCCATACACATCAAGGCAAGCAGCAAACATTACTTCCACACACCTTATAGGCAAAGTGGGTTAAGCGTCTTGCCCAAGGACACAATGACAGCAGACATCAGTGAAATCGGTGGAGAAGGTCTTGCAGTGGGCTCAAACCCACGACCTTCGGGCTCACAGGCCAATGCTCTTCTACTGAGCCACTGTCATAATTCTTTTACTGTTGAAGACATGAGTTGACAACTACTTCACAGCTCTGTTCTAGTCAATATGCAAGGGCCCTGTTAAAAAAATATACATATAATATATATTTAAGATGACTTGAAATTTACTTTATCAAGTTTTTTTTTTTCAAAACCTAGTAACTGAAAATTGGGACCGGTCTGACTTTAAATACATAACTAAATATTTTTACAACTACAAAGACTTCTGCAATAAGTCTCTCCTTAAGGTCAACCTACTTAAATCTCTGAAATAATACATTTGCCTAATTTAATATGACCATTCAAGTTAATGAGCCCTCAAACTAAAACAACGTTCAGTTAAACTATTTTCAGGATAAAACATAACCAGTAATGATACTTATTCAGTTCTTCCATATACCAAAAATTGAGTTTCTTCCTATTAAAACCTGATTTCGAATTCAATTGAGTCATAGCTTCTTCTAAATGATGTGCTGCTCTGAAAAAAAAAAAAATAATGGCTTGGACTGTGGCTTTAGTGGCAAATGTTACATGTGGGAAATTATTCTTGGCAAAAGTTTCAAAGTGTCCTATAATAGTTCATATGTGCTGGTGCAGGTCGGAGCCATAGACCCACTGTGCCATAGTTGTGGTGAGAGCCAGAGCACTGCAGACATTGATCTCAGCCTGTCCACCTTTCACTCACAATAATGACAAGCTGCTGCCTGAATGTCTTTATGGCACTTGGCCTCTCTACATGTTTAAAAGGTGGTTTGGCAGTGGCTTCTGCTCTGACGCACTGCTTTCAAAAATACCACGTCTGGTGATAGTTTGGGCTCTCGTGGCCTGTTTTCTCTAACGACAAAGTGTGTTTTTTATAAGGAAATGTGTGGAAAGTTTAGGCTCACATGTCTTTGAAACAGCTTATGGGTGGCAACCATGGATCTATTATAATAACAACCAGGAAACACGGCAATAGTTTTCCCACCTACAGTTCACCTACAGCCCCTTATACTGAGGTTTATTGGCGACCCACACTCATAATAACACTTACTGCCACACAACGTCATTTCAATATACTGTAGATGTCTGTTGCTAAGAAAGTAGAGACATGTAATACTGGCACAACCTGTTATACAATGTAAGTGTGAGTTGTGAATTAGAATACTTTTACTTTTGTAACTATTCATTTTTGGTGGTATTCTTAAGAACTTAAGGCTTAAGAAAAGAGTTGTCCAATCCAGGTGACGCAATGTTGTTAGATGATAATCATGAAAAAATCCTTCCATGTGAATGTGCCAGCCTTTCCTAATAAACAACTACAAAATCCATTGTCATTGGTGCAAAACAAGTTATTTTAATCCAAATTTGCACTATAAGTTGGGGGACAGAGCTTTTGCCATTGCCCTCTGGAACTCACTCCCACTGCTCATTAGAAACTCTGACTCACTATCAAACTTTAAATCAGTACTCAAAACCCATAATTTCAAACAAGCTTTTCCGTAAACCCCTTTTTATTATTGTATTCTACTCCCCATGTGAAGCGTCTTTGAGTGTCCAAAAAAGCGCTATACAAGTTTGATGTATTATTATTATTATTTAAGTTCTGTGATTGGAGTATTTTAATAAGTACCTTTTAATGCAGGTGTTTTCTCTGTAACTAGTTAGATTGTCAAAGTACACCATTCTCCGCCTCACAGTTCTTAGTACATAATGTACCACCTGTGTGTTTGCAGCTGATTTCAGATATATATATTTTTTTTCATTTCACTCTTTTCCCAACCATAAACTGCTAATGTGTGTAAACATAATCATGCCTGGATTTGAACTAATGTTTCAATAATTTCCCAAGTTAATTGTATTTCCAAGTCCGCCAGTAGAGGGCAGACAAGCCCCACCATGTGAGACCATTGATCAGAGCCAATGGAGAATTGGTAACATTTTCAAGACTATTTAATGAAACAGCATAATCAATATTCAATGTATTAATGTAATGAAAATCAATGTAAAATCACCATTGATTGTCAGACAGTGCAATGCTTGAATATTATGAGTGTGGGTCGCTAATAAACCTCACTATAAGCGGCTAATAGAATAATAAATCAGTGTGTTTTTTTTCTGCCGTTCACAAAGATAACTAAAAATGCATCTTCCATCAAAGTACTACGTTCCTAAAAAAAGAATTACATCTACCCAGTGTTTTTTTCTCGGTGCAAAAACAAAAGCGTCCGTCAGAGATAGCAGCATGGACCTTGTATAAAGAGCAGGATTTATGAATGACACCAGAGTCACTCAATAAGCAGTGATATTTCTGCTGAACAGCGCTGGAGCCGTGACTGAGAGTGTGTTCTGTTGAACTTGACCCTGGAAGTGTTTCATTTGCCATGAGCAGAACGTGACTATTAACACCTTTGAGGAATGGTGCGAAAACATAAACAGCCAAGGAAAGAGTGCAGGGTTCTTGACCGTAATCTTGCACAAATGAGTCGCTCGAGACTGGGCCATTGATACGAGCAACAGTGTGCAGACCTTTATGTGACTACAGCTTCAAATAACACAATTTATTATGGGTTTTTTTCAAGCCAAATCTTTACTGAATCATTCCCACCTCGTCTCAGTCTCCTTCACTCAGCAATGATGACATAAACTTTGCTTTTCTGGAAATAACAATTTAATAAATGACTGAACATTTCCCATAATGTGTTACACTTTCATCTAATAAATCCCATTTCGTGTTTTCTATTGGCTTTTAGTAAACATTATTATCTGTAAATATGTGCAGCAAATGTTTCCGAATATTAGTGACATGTTAGCCCCATATGAACCGGCCCGGTCTCTGAGGGACACAGGGACTGGGACTCCTGCCGGGACTAAGAGGAGCACAGGGACTGGACTCCTGCTGGGACTCTGAGGAGCACAGGGACTGGCCTCCGACTGGGACTCTGAGGATCACAGGGACTGGCCTCCTGCTGGGACTCTGAGGAGCACAGGGACTGGCCTCCGACTGGGACTCAGAGGAGCACATGGACTGGCCTCCGACTGGGACTCAGAGGAGCACATGGACTGGACTCCTGTTAGTGCCCAGAGTCAGAACTAAACATGGGGAGGCTGCTTTTCAGATTCATGCTGCTAAAATCTGGGACAATCTTCCTGAAGATGTGAGACAGACCTTTTCTCTGACAATGTTTAAAACCAGGTTAAAGACAGTTCTGTTTAGCTGTGCATACAACTGAGGGATTTTATATTTTCATCTTTCTTTTTAATGTACTGTGATTATTTTAATGCTATTTTATTTTGTTCAGCACTTTGAGTTTCCTTGTGTATGAATTGTTCTATACAAATAAACTTCCCTTGCCTTCTGAAGAGACGGATGAAAAAGTGTGTTTCGTAAAGCTTAGGTTGGCAATCACACTTATGCCTCGAGTGTCCTTTACATGTGTTTGTTGGAGAGTGGACGCTCATGCCGAGAGTGTGGTTTCCTGGAAAGGTACTTGAAATGCCAGCAAATGGAAGTAATAACATTTACATTATCACAGGGTATTACACGGGGACAAAGCAGGTTTAACGGCACAAAGACAGCCTCGAGGTCAGCCGTGACTACAAACTCACGTCTGCCGTTTTATTTCAATGGACTTTTACTTCGTCTAATGGGACTGAACTTGACCATTTCCTTATCGTGTTCTGGATTCAGTGGATCGTCTCGCTTTTCTAACAA